CCCCTGGTATTTCTTTCTCTTTTGAATAAAAGGCAAGAAATTATTTTTAGGTAGTAGAGACAGCATTGTATGTATGGATTGCATACATCCAGCTAATATTTAGCTTTAAGTAGCTAGCCTGTGCAGGACCTGTAAAGGAGAAACCTATGTATAAATTGCCATGGTTACACATCATGATAAATACAACTTCTCTCCAATGAGGCTGAAAGGTGTTGATTTTAAGTCCACTGACAATATTCCAAAAACTAATCTAAGTCTTATTCTATCTATATAACATCTCAGATGTGCCATATATCCTAAAATTGGAGTCTCATCCACACACCACTTGCTGGCCTGGTAGAACACTCTACCTGTTAGCACCCAGCTTTCCTGACAAACAGCGCTGGGTCACAGCACTGGAATCAATAGTGGCAGGTGGGAGAGTTTCCAGAGAAAAAGCTGAGGCTGATGCTGTGAGTATAAAAGTTTCATTTAATAATAAAATATTCTGGGAGGGAGCAGAGTTTTGAAAAATAATTTTTCGGTATTTGACATACTGGGGTTTCACTGAAGGTAAGTTATTACTTCTGCCTTATGATGTACAATATGAGTACCAAGAAAAGAGTTCATTGTGAGACTGATGCTTTGTATTACAATATCCTTCTTTAGACTTGGGGAGTATAGTAAGAGGATCCCAAAATTGTATCTCTGTAATTCCAGCAAAGGAAGAAAAAGCAGTTAGGACATGGTTTAATCCAATCTCATAATGTACCATGTTGAACGAGCAAACCTTAAAAGAAAGAAAGAAACAAGCAAAAAGCTCCCTCCTCTCCCATTCTTATGAAGTCGGGGGTTTTTTGTTTCTTGGGGGGGAGGGGGGTGTGTGTGTTTAAGTTTTATTCCTGATAAGAATAAAAGGTTAAACGAATTTGTTTTAGTTTTGGATAGGCTTTTTCACCATTATTGCACTGATGACTCTGTTTTCTCATAAAGGGGGTTTTGATTCTATGGCATTGCATATTAGTGTTCTATGGCATCTGGAGGTAGGGAATACCTGACTAGCTGGAAATCATCTCTTTTTCTCATGCTAGCATTCCTTTTGCCTCTGAGGAAAATACATGCTCCCACCAACATTTGGACTTTCGTTTTTTCAGTCCTTCCCCTAGGAAAATTTCACTGCTCCATTGCAGGAGATTGCGGGAAATAGAAAGGATAGGCACAACGATAGGTTCTGCCCAAGTTTAAGGTTAATTCTGATGGGTTTGCCTGACTCTGTTTCAGTTAGATAAAAGTTTACTAATGCTTTTGTAGGTGGTATCCCTGCAATTTTTAGCTTTCTGAGATAAAGAAATAGGTGCCAAGCTTTTTGCCTGTCTGAAGTGATGACCGTACGTTGTTAATCTTTATCTCTTTCTCTATTACTATTTTATCTCAACTACAACAAAAAAATCTTTTTGTCATTTGTAGAAATTGCTCGGGAACTCCCTGCTGAAGCTAGAGGGTGAAGACCGTTTGGATATAAATTGCACAATGCCCTTCAGTGACCAGGTACTGATAATGTTCACTTGGGCCCTTCTGATATTTCATTCATGGAAATAGTATCTTAAGAGCCACATATGTAATTATGGATTTGATTGATTGTTGCTTTGTTTTTTCTTTTCACTGGTAAACACTGTCGTCCAAGTTTGCTCTTGGAGCGTTCCTTATTCTCCTCACGTCGTGCTTATTTTTTTTCCTGTTGTTACCGTAGGTAGTACTGGTGGGTGCAGAAGAAGGTCTCTATGCCCTGAATGTACTGAAGAATTCCTTAACGCATATCCCAGGAATGGGTGCCGTCTTCCAAATTCACCTCATCAAGGATCTGGAGAAGCTACTCATGATAGCAGGTAGGGGGCTATATGTTACCATTTGTCCTGCAGTAAATGTATGGTGACTCTTTGTACCGCTAAGAGTACTGTGGTGCCAAAGGGCCAGGCTCTCCTTTAGATTCATTACAGGGCTTTTTTCTTATTCTACCCCCCCCCCCCCCCCCCCACTTGTT